CAAAGGTCTATACATAGGCGGTTGCAGGCCTGGGCATTAGGGGGCAATGCCCAGGTTGACTTTTTGACCAATAATTATATTCATGATTCTGGTGTGGGCATCCAGTGTAAACTGTGGTAGTTCAACAGGCTTCTTTGTTGTTTTATGCTAAGAAATCATCTCAATGAAGTTATAGATCAGTATTGTCCATTTTCCTTGCAAAATTGTATGGAACCACACCCACTCCACACCCACTAATTATTGATGCCCAGGTCAAACCAAATTTCTGCAACCGCCCATGGGTCTATATCTTTTGTATATAGACCAGTTCTAGTATGTTATATAGGATATATTTCATAATGATGACAGCATTTCTGAATGGCAGGTATATATACAAAAATATAAACCCGACCACATCAAAGGATGATGTCATAATTGTGAGATATATATGCACCCCAATCTTATCCTTCCACAATTACAGTACCAACTAATGGCAACAGTACGTCTACAATCTTGATACATGTGCATGTATTACATGTACATGTAGGTGTGTGTTATTTATTATTATTATTTTTATAGATTTATTAAAGCTTATACTGGCCACATTGATTACAAGCAGTTGGAGGAATCAGTTGAAAAACTTAAGAATGTAATGGAGTGAGTTATACATCACTACATGTACATGTAAATACATGTACAATGTAAATTAATTTTATTTATTAATAATCATTATTAATTCTTCTAGACACATAAATGAAGACAGAGAACCAGATACACATGTTTGAACTTATACGTGACATTGAAGACATTCCAGTAATTAGTGGGTGAGGTCTTTAATAACTGACTCCTCCCCTTTTAGGCTACGGCCCTTTCATCTCATCGTTGGTTTATTTCAAGACATGATGTGTTGGAGTTAAATATTAGCAATAATGGAAAGACTAATAAACCATTGTCTATAGCATTGTTCCTCTTCTCTGACAGCATTGAGGTGAGATAGAGGAAGTGTCTCATTTTTATATGCTAATTTTACCTGTACTATAGCCCATGGTTTTTTC